GCACACGATACTCACTCAGTGCAATGCACACGATACTCAGTGCAATGCACATGATACTCAGTGCAATGCACACGATACTCAGTGCAATGCACACGATACTCACTCAGTGCAATGCACACGATACTCACTCAGTGCAATGCACGAGGGGCGCATTTACGCGAAGCCAGAGCCACACTCCCCCCACTTTCAGGATCCACCCTCCGACTCCGACTCCGCCTGGCTGCATAGCAGACCCCGAGCCCACCCCGGACCCCTCCCGGGCACAGGGGCCAGCACTGACCCCCGCACCTGGCCAGTGGCGACAGGCTCAATCCCACTGCAGGTACACAGGCGCTCGCCTCCCTCCCGATCCCCGAAGGGTCAGCACCTCCACCGATCGATCTCTCGCCGGGCGTCTGCGGTCCTCGGGGGCCCTCACGTCCACGCGCCTCCCGCGCCCGGACCCGGGAGAAAGCGCACTCGCTGGCCGGTTCCCCGAAGCCACAGGCGAACTCGGGAAAAGTTGCACTTACTTCCGCGACGCGCGCCCGCGGCTACAGCGGCCGGCGAGGGACACGGGGCTCGGCGCGCGCGCGCACGCGTCACTTCCGGCCCCGTTCTGCATTGAGCTTGACATGTTGCAAGGAGGGACCAGTCCTTGGAGGGGGACGTCATGCTTGGGAGGGTGGAGGGACAGCGCAGGAGAGGAAGGCCCTCTATGAGGTGGATTGATTCAGTGACTGGGATAATCGGGATGGGAGTGTCAGAGACAGTGCGATTGGCACAGGACAGAGCGGAGTTTAGGGCTGTTGTACATAGGGTCGCTATGAGTCGCAGGCACCTGGACATGTGTCAACTACTTGTTAGAAATTCTTTTTTTTAATGCACACCCATGTTTATTGCAGCTTTGTTCACAACAGCAAGGAGTTTGAAAGAAGCTAAGTGCCCATCAACAAACGAATGGATAGAGAAGCTGTAATGTAAAACAAGGAACTCATGTAATATTAGTCAAAATGGATGATCCTGGAGGACTTGATGCTGAGTGAAATATTTCCGTCACAAAAGGACAAATACTGCATGGTGCCACTGTTGTAAAACAGGACTGACATCAGGGTTGGGGGGAGACCGAAAAAGATGGGTTAAATAATGTATACTGCCTTGAAACAGATGAGGGAGAAAACTGTTTGAAAGGGATATGTGATTAGGTATTTTTGTCATGACAGGAGTTCACATCGAAGGCTGCATAGTCTAGTGGTCCTGTGGGGAGGGACTATGAAACAATGAAAGAATTTTTCATTTACTTTTCCAAGAGGGTCTTGTACTAGAGGGGAGGGTGGGCAGGGAGAAAAGTGCAACAATGAATGAATGGAAATCCAAAGTCTTTAAATTTTCATTGACATTAATAAAAAGAAATTATTTTTTATGTGATTCACCATGTAAAATTGACCAATAATTATAGTGAGCCATTTAAAAAAAAGAAAAATCCAGAGCTCTGGTGGCCTAGTGGCAAGGAGCTGCAACTACAATCCCAGAGGCGCAGGGTTCGAATCCACCAGATGCTCTGCTGGGGAAGGAGGGACAATCTCCTCCTGTATCAGTCAGATCTGATTTGACGGTACACTCACACAAAATTAATAAAATTTAAAAAAAAGAAAAATCCTTCTAAAAGGGAAAAAAAAAACCCACAAAACCCAAACACCCTACAATGCAACCTTTTTTCCCCCACTTAGCGTATTTCCCCCAGTGATGCTACCAAGCCAAATGTCGTACAGCCCTGGTCTGTGCATTGCTGTACAAAGGTAACTCATGGTTGCTGTGAAGCTGAACACTGTGACACTGATGTGTCAAATGCGAGAATGGTTACCCATGGTGGACAGTGTTTGGTGGAGCTGCCTGATTAAAACAAGCTTGGAAGCAGGAGTGGCATCCGCTTCTGACATAGCTTGCCTCTGGAAACCCTATGAACTTAGAGAAAGGACGACAGTTATACAAGGGTCCATGCTTTTCGTTTATAGGGTCGCTGAGTCCCCTATAACTCGATGGCACTTAACAACATTTCCTCCAATGCATTCCCAGTGAGGAGAAAGTTCCTAAATCAGTGGTGTGTGAAAAGGATTCTGACAGACTGAATACTCTCTAACCTGAGATTTTGGAGTGAGTTCAGAGAGAGCAACGTCATGGACAACTTCCACCTTGTCTTCTAAAAATACTGTGTCTTAATCTATAGGACTAACAAGCAGAATACGGTGAACACAGGCTGACAGCCCCACTCCCCGGAAGGCTGAGAAGGAATGAAGACGTAAAAACGACATGCTTCAACTCAGCACCTGACGGACAGCTGAGATTTTGGGAATGACACAAATCTCAAGGTTGCCAGAGGGGTTCATGTCCCAGAACCCCAAAGTGTTTCAGCTCCTCCCATTTCTCATGCTCTGTGCCCCTCTTGGAAATCTTTGATAGCACAAATGGGCAAATACTAGCTTAGTGGCAAGTAATTGCACTGATACTGCAGAGGTATGTGGTTCAAGTCTACCAGCTGCCACTACGATGGGTGATCAAGTCCTGTGTGGTTTACTGCGTCTGAAAACCTGCTGGGGGGTCAGCAATGGGCTGATTATGAATCGAGGGTACACAACTCCCACCAAAAGGCGGGCAGTTCAGACCCTCTCAGATGAACCTTCTGAGGTGGCTGATAAAACATTTTCACTAGGTCGACATGGTGTCACCATGAAGCCAAATCGACTCAGTGGTAATTATAATAATCACATTCATTAATACAGACTGAAGTTCCCAGGATGGGTTTTTAGGTGTCTATTTAGGAGTCCTGCATGTTTGTATACAACTGGTAAGTCTCTCAAATGTCACCTGGAAATGTATCTGACCAGTTAGTTGTATTCTGTACAACTGTCTTTTTTTTAAAAAAAATTATTATTATTCTGTGTGTGTACCGTCAAATCGGATCTGACTGGTACAGGAGGAGATTGTCCCTCCTTCTCCATCAGAGCATCTGGTGGATTTGAACCACATACCTCTGAGCATGCAGTACAGCTTCTTACCACTAGGCCACCAGAGCTCCCACAACTGTCTTTCAATGACTTATTCACAGCACTGAAAAATCCCTTCATTGTAAAAATGTCTTGGCGGAGGCACTTGACCTCCTCTGATGTCAGGAGTGGGTTAAGAGAATCCATTATCGTCAGGTCAAGCCTGATGCCTAGGAAATGGACAGACTTACCTTCTCTCACCAGCCTTTTTCTCCCATGGCATTGTACTTCTTATGCTGGGTTCAGGAATTTCACACTGCCAAGGTCAGGGGCATACTCACGAACATGGGGTTTATCAGTGATGTCAGGGGTTCCTTCAAGGCCAGGAAAGACTCAGGATACAGTTCTCTACTTAGGCCAACTTCTCAGCCATGCCCACAAGCAAGCTTTGCCCTGGACCTTACTCTTCTGGCCTTCCACCACTGTGGCCCATGGACTGGCCCAAACCCTGCCCTGCTCAGGGAATGGTTATGAATCTCTGTAGATCCCCCAGTAAGAGACTAGAAAGCACTATACTATCCTCAATGGTGGTAAGACAAGTTCAGGAAGCCGGCTGTAGGGAAGCCCTTCTGTTTGTTCTAGAGGTGAATCCTTGTTTTCTTCCAACATCTCTGGGCCCACCACCCCCCAGAGAGTGACCGGCCCTCCCTCCTTCCTTTCTTTCTCTCTTTCTTCTCCCTCCCTTTCTTCTCTGACCCCTTAACATTAAAATACTGAGTTTCTGTAATTCTACATGTAATTGATACTTGGGGGAAAATTCTAGTCTGTTCAATGCCTTCCAATTGCTGATTCACATCAATGCTCAAATGCTATTTGATTAGTTCACTAGTCCATTTATTACCTTTTAAAAATATTCTATCATTAGATGTATTTCTGTGGGTTGGGAACATACAATCATGCCAACCAGTGCTTTCCAGTATAATTTTTTTCCAGGATGATGGAGATTTCAGTCAGTACACATCCTAAAACCATAGACAAACCCAGCTCTTGTTCACTGTGATGTCTAATTGTCTAAGTAGTAACACACACCAAACTCATAAGATGTGGCCAGCAAAACTATGGAACTGAAGGTTTTGGTGTTTTGTTAGGTTTTTTTGTTTGTTTCAAATGTAAATAGTCAGGGTTAGGGTTATTCAAGTGATTTATAAGCTACTTGGATATACCTCAGAAAAACTGCCAAAGAATTTAAAATAATTTAGAGATAAATACAAAACCCATCAAGGAAATGATGACTAAGTTGGGTGACAGCTTGTGTACTTTCTTTGTTTTGCAGTATCTGTCAGAAATTTATTACAGAACTGGGAGGACAGTGAGTTGCCTTCATAAACTGCCTCGGCATGTGTACTTTATAAACAAAAAAGAATTGAACTGTTCCCTAAGCTGCTTGAGGACCAGTAGAAGGAATACTTAGCCTAAGAGTCTATGAGCCGCGCAAACGGTTCACGCTCCTGGGTAATCGGTTCAGATCCACTCAGAGGAGAGCTCTGACAATCTATTTGGGGAAAATTAGCCACGGAAAACCCTGGGGAAGCACACAGTTCTGCGTTAACACATGCATGGACCCCCCCCACACACGTCGGGATTAAGTCGATGACAACTAGATTTTGACAAGATGTTGTCGTAAGAGGTGTTTAGTTTTGTTTTTTTTTTTTTTTTCTAACTCCCTAAAGTGTCTATCTAAGCCCCATGTGCCAGCAATTCCCTATCTATCCCATTTCACGTAGATAGTGCGTCACCTGGCTGCATTATCCGGAACATCGAGGTTCCCAAATACGCTTCGACTCCATACTCTAAGAAGGCATGGGTTTTTTCTTATGTATTCATGGCTGTATCCTTGGTTCCTGATGACAGGGCTAGGTACAAAGGCCTAATGTGACAAATATCCACTAATAAACAGACGCACAGGGAAGACTATCATTTCATAGGTCCCTCTTCATGTTAATACAATGTTCTATTAGGTATGGCAAGGAGTCTTGGGAGGAGAGAGGGGGTAGGTAATCGGGCTGCGAACTGAATGGTCGGCTGTTCAAATCCACCGATCACTCCAGTTGGGGCGGGGGAGATGAGGAGCCGCCTCTCATGACGTTGTAGTGTTAATCGCGGTTGGATTAGACATTGTAAGTAATTCATTCTATTACTCGGGGGCGGGGGGGTTAACTAATGTTATAAAACAAGGTGTCTATGAGTTAGTGTCTGGAAAACCAATATGATTTGTAAAACTTTCACTTAAATAAGAAAAATGTTGAAAACATATATATTTACAGTGTTAGGAACCTGATGGAGGAGGTCACTGGGTCAGGACCAACTGGGCGGCAGTGGGGACGGGTCAGTGGTTTCTGGTCTTAGTTCTTTGACGCTGAGCTGAGGACAGTGAACTGCTACGAATAAGCCCCGCAGAACGCAGCCTTGCCCCATCCCACGAACCACCTCCTGTGTCATCTGCAGCAACCTTCAAAATACCGATGAGTTTTTGCTTTAAAAATTCACAGCACTTAGATTTTGTCCACAGGAATTAATCCAGCTTTCCTCATCAATGCTACAACCGCTGTTCAGCTCCGACTCCCACCGATCCTATGGAACATGGGCTTGAAGGCCTTGCTGGACGGTGCACCGTCCTCACACGCCCCGTCACGCGGACACCCCCTGCTGCCGTCCCCGTGCCAGTCGGCCTCGCTGAGTGACCGCCACAGCAGAGCGAGTGATAGCTCTGTGAGTGTGGTCATGTCAACACTGGTCGGGAATCATCTGCTGATATCATGCAACGTCAAGTCGGAACCGACTCATAGCTGACACTTTGAGGGTTGTTCAGAGAGAGTTCATCACACGGGAGGAGACTGCCCACCTCTCTCCTCTGGAGCAGCTGGTGGCTTCGAACCGCAAGCCTTTGACAGGCAAGTCCAAGTCCTTAAGACGAGGCCATCAGAGCTCCCTCTGTATATTTACGCAGGACGAGCATATGAGGTTTTCCTCAAGTCTGCATCACACGATTCCCTTCAGGATACACTTCGGAGATATACAACGAGGTAGGACCCCTTGCCGAGGCTTCGTCCCTCCCCTGCGAGCATGGCACAGGTGGGTCCTACAGGTATGGTGGGACGTAAAACAGGATGTAACTGGACATGGAAGGCACTGCCATGTTGGCTACATTCACAGGCACGACATTGACGGTGTCCATCAGATCTCCCTGTGGGACAAAGGCTCCGGCCGGCTCGCTTCCCGCAGCCGACTGCCCCACGAGGACCGTGTTCCCGCTGGCCAGGAGCTCCCTGATGTGGACAGAGGTCTGAGCGGCCTCGGGCGGCACCTGCACAGCGGTCACCGGGCCCACGGGGCTCTCCCCGTGGAAGAGGTCACCGATGAGAGGCGCCGGCTGGCTCACGGCGCACGGCTCTTCCTCCACCTTGATGGCTTCCCTGGGGTTCTCCTCTTGGTGCTTCTTCTTGTGCAGGTAGAAGTGAGAGGCCGTGGCGAAGGCGTTCCCACACTCGTCGCAGCTGTACAGCTTCTGTCCCGTGTGGACCACCTGGTGCAGGAAGAGCTCGCGCTTGGTCTCGAAGGCGCTCTCGCAGTCGCTGCACTGGAAGGGCTTCTCCCCGTTGTGGATCTTCTCGTGCCGGATGAGGCTGGACTTCTGCGAGTAGGACCTGCCGCACCTGGCACACGAGAAGGGCTTCCTGCCCGTGTGGTAGCGCTGGTGGGCCACGAGGCAAGGCTTCTGGTTGAAGCCCTTGCCACACTCGGTGCACACGTAGGGCTTCTCGCCGGTGTGGGTGCGCCGGTGGGTGATGAGGCCGCCCCGCTGGCTGAAGCCTCGGCCACACTCGGGACACACGTAGGGCTTCTCACCTGTGTGGATACGCTCGTGGATGATGAGGCTGCCTTTCCTGTTGAAGTCCTTCCCGCAGGCCCTGCACACGAAGGGCTTCTCGCCGGTGTGGATCTGCAGGTGCAAGATGAGGCTCTCCCGGTAGTTGAAGCCTTTCCCACACTCCTGGCACCCGTAGGGCTTCTCGCCCGTGTGAATCCGCTGGTGAATCATGTGGCTTCTCTTCTGGGCGAAGCCCTTGCCACACTCCTGGCACCGATAGGGCTTCTCGGCGCTGTGGGTCCGCTGGTGGACAAGGACGCTGGTCTTGTGGTTGAAGCCTTTCCCGCACTCAGGACACACGTACTGCTTCACGGCACTGTGTGTCCTCCGGTGCACGATGACGCTGGTCTTGTACTTGAAGGTTTTCCCACACTCGTTGCACCCGAAGGGCTTCTCGGCGGTGTGAGTTTGCTGGTGCACGGCCAGGTCGCGCTTGCGAATGAAGCCTTTCCCACACTGGCTGCACATGTAAGGCTTCTCAGCCATGTGGGTTTTCTGGTGATAGTGGAGGTGTGACAGGTGGAAGTAGGCTTTGCCGCAGTCCGGGCATTTGTAGGGCTTCTGCCCTTGGTGGCTCGTGTGATGGTGCTCGATGAGCTTGAACTTTTTGAAGTAGGTTTCTCCACACAGGTGGCACCTGTAAGGTGTCTGTCCCACGTGGACGATCTGATGCGCGTCGAGCCAGGACTTCCTGGTGTAGGTCTTCCCACATTTGTTACACACGTGGGGGGTCTCGGGGTGCCTGGTTTTCTGAGGCTGAGGGAGCGGGGAGTCCGGGTGGCTGGCGGGCTGACACTCGGGCATGATGACCACTGGGTAGAACTGCTCACGGTCATCGCGCAGCAAGGTTTGCTCGCCTCCGAAAAGCTCGTCCAAGTTCTTGACATCACCACCTCCGCTCTGAGGGACCGCTGGCAAAGTGAATTCTGACTTCACACAGCTTTCAAGGGGCTCAAAGATAGCGTGGTTTCCCAATGCAGCCGGCTCACAGAGTGGATCCCTGCTGTCTAACTTTCTTCCATACTGCAGGTGCCCACGCAGGTGACCATCAACATTCCGGATTTCTAGAGAAAAAGGAGTAACAATGAATCCTTCCACTGTCTTGATTTGGAACACAGCAATTGAGTGTTGTGATTTTATCCACCCGCTGTACAAACAAACAAAATTTAGGTAGCCTATGAAACATCAAGGTACTCATCTACTCTGGGCCGACTTTGCAATCCACTGAAAACATGTATAATATAGATCCTGCTGTCTTCACCTGTGTCTGAACTCTCCCACAGGAAGACCAAAGAGAGAACCGGGCCAAAACACAGAAATATTTTTAAAAATTCATTGATGACGCACACCCATGTTTATCGCAGCTTTGTTCACAGTAGCAAGGAGTTGGAAACAACCCAGGTGCCCATCA